GTTGAGCATTTAGATGACATTATTCTTTGTGCGATCTGTACAGAAATGTTTTAAAAAATAGCTTTGAGCGTTAATGGTAGGCACCTATGATAATAAATTTAAATAAGGAGGTATATAATATAGTGAAAAACTAGTTCCTACCAGATTATATGAAAACATAATAACATCATGCATGGATCTTATGCGATCTACGCATGTCGCAAACCTCAAATCTCAACAAAATCATGTGTGCTGTTTTGAAAAGCGAAACCAGTTTTCAAAACTGGTTGGAAATTTGATGCTAGAACATTACTATTGTTTTAACAAGAAGCGGCGGAACAAAGATTTTTTTACACCAATGCAGTGGCGCAGGCAGAATCCTATATGTCAGGACACCGCGGCTCCTAGGAGGAGCCTAAAGAAACTTTATTAATCCGATTGTTGAGCTGCCTGAGGTGAGTATAACTTATTTAGATTGTTCCACAATCTCGATACCCTAGGGACAAAGCAGCGGTCGTATCGGCCAGTTATGGATGTACGACGTTCGATACGGCATCAAGGAGGAGAGCTCTGAGGGGCAAAGATCATCGGTGTAGCGGTAGAAGAGAGCTAGATCGCCGACGGTCCGCTGGTGCAGAAGGATAACGAGACTGTCCGTTAGAGGCGGGTAATCGATCAGTCGAATAGCCCTCCTCTGAACGCCATCGAGCCTTGATAATGCAGTCGGGGAGACAGCACCCCAAAGACGTGTACAGTACTCGAGGCTAGGTCCTATCTGGGCCTTATACCATATAAAGTGAGGATATCATGTGGAGAAAAGTACTTCTTACCCTTAAACAAATAGCCTAGCTTTTGCCATCTGATGCCGCTACGGACGAGATGAGTTCGTGCCAGATCAGGTCCTCGAAACCGTTAGGACGCTTCTTGTTAATGACGTATACTACGTATTATACCGTTCCAGGAGACTGAGAGTGCAGTAGGTATTTCTTAAAAATTTGCGCGAATTATTACCAGCGCAGCGGCATACTAGGGCATAAACTTCTAAATGTAGGAGGCTATTTCTCGACGTATCAAGTTTTAGAGCTGTTGACAAGTTTCGCCTTGGTTCTTTCTGTTTTCAAGTATACCAATCTAAAAGTCGTAACTTACCGTTTCATTATCGGCTGGGTTATTGAAAGTTGGAGTTATGCAGTTGACAACTGATCCCAGGAAACTGTCCATTAACTCATACGCAAACCATACTGGTCTATAACAATCGCTACTGCCGTTTTCAGTTTTGATAATTGCCTTCTTCCTTCGCGTAATACTTCTAAAAGTAGCCATCAATGATTCCTTTTTCCTTTTCAGGATTGCCACAGACAGTCCAAGTTTATCGCTTAAGCGTTCCCATGCTTCACCAACTCGCCTTTTATCTTTATGGAATTTGTGTTTTGGGTTCCACAAAACCGGTTCGTTTTTGTAGCCCTCCAAAAATTGCAATGTGAAGTCGTTTGTCCAATCTCCCAGTTTGGGGAGATGCTTTTCGGCCTCCCTCTGCATCTACACAAACGAAGCGAGGTACGCCTATCGAATAAGTAGGTTACGGAGTTTTCGGCCTCCCCTCGTATCGGAAGAAACGAATCGAGGCTGAAGCGAATACAGCAAGCAACGCAGGCTGTGGAAAACGAGCGCTCGTGACGTAACGACGACTACGACATTCGCGGAATGCCCGGCGAGACTGGACGAAGCTAGCAGCCGGTAACGAGCGGGCGCTCGTTGTGCCTCGGGTCCCCTCGCCCCGCCGCGTTGCTTCTCGTACCCAATGTTGCCAGGTTTTACGCCACTACCAACAGGGGCCTGATTCTAAATGACAGTTGAAATTGATTAGTATATCGTCACAAGGCGTCATCGAAATCAATTTCAACGGTCGAAACTCATTAAGAATCAGGCCCCTGTTCTTATGCTTATGTTGCGGCGGGGGTTCGCATGCATATGGTGGATGCAGAAGCGTACCTATAGTTTGATTTCGATATTCACTGGAATATTCCTAAATCCCCTAAAGCTATTCCATTCCTAACAGCGACTAGCGGGCGATAATAATAACAGCATTTATTGTCCAACAGTTACCCATTTACACAGTGCCGGATGCTCCGCTGTTCGACTATCGTCCGCCGGTGCGCATGACGTCATTCTGAGAGTGATTCTCATTTGGGTTGATATGAATAAGGTGCATATTTTCACCTACAGGCCAAACGGCTGGACGGATTTTTACATATGAAGTGTTGTTGGATTCGTCTTAGCGGTGCGAGTGGCACTGGCTAGATTAAAATTTTATACAAAACAAAATGGTGGATTTTAATAAAAGATTTAAACCTTGTAATTCCTATTTCATAGGCTACAGCTCAAACGGCTTGATAGATCATTTTCACATATGAGGTGTCGTTGGATTCGTCTTATCGATGCGTGTGACACAAGCTACATTTAAATATTATACAAAATGGCGGATTTAAATAAAGGATGTCAACCTAGTAATTCCTATTTCACAGGCTATGGCTTAAACGCCTTCTTAGCTCCACAATAGAGCGTATCGTCACTTTACTGTAAAAATAAGATAACTCATGACCTGTTTTTACATTACCTATATTTTTATGTTCTGTGGAGCAGGACTAACATGCTCATGACGTTAATACTGCACTACATTTATTCTTATTTCGCAAAACATCAGTACATGCAAGTGTGAAAATGTACGCAGCAACTCGAAAAGTAGAAAAATGGAGTTATCTTCTTTTGCAGTAAGCTGGCGGTATAAGAATACATAATTGGAAATTACTCAGTCTAAGCAACAAGTTTTCTCTGGTCTTTCAAACTTTATTCAGTTCTTTGATCTGGAAGAACATCCTTGACCTAAAAAATAGTTTTTTAGCTTCTTTAGGGCAGTCAATGTTGCTGCTCTTCAACAGCAGTTCGCCTATAAAATGTTGCTCGTCTGTCACTATTCCGTCCCCAGTGAATGTAGTAAAGATACCTTGTTTAGCTTCTCAATTTGATTGATGAAAGCTGTGGAAGGTTTCGAAAATACACTCTCACTAAGATGGTCTATCTAGGACTAAGTTTCATTTCCTCGTTATAGTCAGCTGATACTTCAGGTGCATTCAGCTTAGTCGTTAATGATGCGGTTACTGGAATGTATGGAGTATCCTCTGACTCTACTCTGCATCTGCAATACTCTGAGTATGCGCCTTCGTCTCGCCCCAAAATAGGTATAAGATCTTATTCTAAACTTGGATGGTCATGAAGACCACGTTTGGACTAATTACTCCGAAAAGTTTCCTATCACATCTTGATTAAGACGTCTTGTTAACAGGTATTGGATGCTGAAGCTGAATTTTCCGTAGTAATGGCATCATCTTTTAGAGCACGATATCTTTTAGGGGTGTAACCCAAAAGGGTATGTCTTTGCAAGGATTCCGTTCAGATTGGTTGTCGGAATTACATCCCACAACGGCACACCGCATTTTTATCAATTTATCAATTTATAAAGTATGTATAACTCATACAAGTCACAAAAATCACTAACAAATCGCACGACATAGTATTAACCACGGTACAAGTACACTGC